ACTGGTAAAAGGTCTGGACCACAAGCTGGCCAGTTAAGCACCCATACTCTTCTACTATCAAGGCATGATGTTGTCATAGATGCAGTAAACAGTTTAATATTGTCCTGATGAAATATGAAAGGCATTCCCTGAATGGGAACGTATGCTGCTCTACAACCTGGATATACTGTATCTTTCAGCATTGGTGCCTTTCCAGATGTTCAAGCTGCCCATTCCATGTGCATTAATGTACCCCCATACCATCAGAGATGCAGGCTTTGAGCTGAGTGCTGATAACAAGCCAAGCCAGAAGGTCCCTCTCCTCTTTAGTCAGATGTGGCACCCGTGGTTGTCAAAAACAATGTAAAATTTCAGTTTGTCTGACCACGGTACAGTTTTCCACTTTGCAGCAGACCATTTTAAATGAGCTTTGGATCATGTTCAGATATGGCTTTTTCTTTGCATGATAGAGCTTTAGCTTGCATATTTGAATGGCACGGCAAACTGTATTCACAGACAGTAATTATTGGAAGTAACCCTGAACCCATGCAGTGTCGTCCATCACAGAATCATGCCTGGTTTTAGTGCAGCTCTGTCTGAGGACCCATAGATCACCAAGATCCAATACTGCATAGCGGCCTTGTCTCTTGAGCACAGAGATTTCTCCATATTCTCAGAATCTTGCGATGATATTATATACTGTAGATCAGCGGTTCTCAACCTGGGGGTCGCGACCCCTTTGGGGGTCGAACGACCATTTCCCAGGGGTCGCCTAAGACCATCGGAAAACACATATTTCCGATGGTCTTAGGAACCGAGACACCGCTGCAGTCTCCGGCGATGTGTGGGCGGGATGATACGCTGCTGTCACCCGGCCACACCTCCAAGATCGCTCAGCAGCTCCGCCTCCTCGCCGCTGATTGGCCACCGGAACTGTAGCTCAGGAGAGGCACACAGGCGGCCAATCACCGGCGAGGAGGTGGAGCTTGGAGAGGAGGAGCCAAGCGGCAGCGCGCGGACATCAAAGAAGACCGAGGGAGCGAGTGAAGAGGAGAGCGGCCAGAGAGAAGGAAGACAGCAGCTGACAGGTAAGTGAGAGAGCGAGCCCAGGCTGGAGCAGGGGTCAGCAAGGTAAGTATCATTGGTGTCAGTGGGAGGAATAGTGCCCCATCATTTGTGTCACTAATACCAACGATGGGGCACTATTCCTCCCCCCACTGACACCAACGATGGGGCACTACTCCTCCCCCCACTGACACCAACGATGGGGCACTACTCCTCCCCCCACTGACACCAACGATGGAGCACTATTCCTCCCCCCACTGACACCAACGATGGGGCACTATTCCTCCCCCCACTGACACCAACGATGGGGCACTATTCCTCCCCCCACTGACACCAACGATGTGGCACTATTCCTCCCCCCACTGACACACAACGATGTGGCACTATTCCTCCCCCCACTGACACCAACGATGTGGCACTATTCCTCCCTCCACTGACACCAACGATGTGGCACTATTCCTCCCCCCCACTGACACCAACGATGGGGCACTATTCCTCCCCCCACTGACACCAACGATGGGGCAGTATTCCTCCCCCCACTGACACCAACGATGGGGCAGTATTCCTCCCCCCACTGACACCAACGATGGGGCAGTATTCCTCCCCCCACTGACACCAACGATGGGGCAGTATTCCTCCCCCCACTGACACCAACGATGGGGCAGTATTCCTCCCCCCACTGACACCAACGATGGGGCAGTATTCCTCCCCCCACTGACACCAACGATGGGGCAGTATTCTTCCCCCCACTGACACCAACGATGGGGCAGTATTCTTCCCCCCACTGACACCAACGATGGGGCAGTATTCTTCCCCCCACTGACACCAAACGATGGGGCAGTATTCTTCCCCCCACTGACACCAACGATGGGGCAGTATTCTTCCCCCCACTGACACCAACGATGGGGCACTATTCTTCCCCCCACTGACACCAACGATGGGGCACTATTTCCCCCCCCCCTGACCCCAACGATGGGGCACTATTCTCCCCTCCACCACACTGACATCAATGATGGGGCACTATTCCTCCCACTGACACCAATGATGGGGCACTATTCCTCCCCCCACTGACACCAACGATGGGACACTATTTCCCCCCCCCCACTGACCCCAATGATGGGGCACTATTCTCCCCTCCACCACACTGACACCAATGATGGGGCACTATTCCTCCCACTGACACCAATGATGGGGCACTATTCCTCCCACTGACACCAGTGATGTGGCACTATTCCTCCCACTGACACCAGTGATGTGGCACTATTCCTCCCACTGACACCAGTGATGGGGCACTACTCCCACTGACACCAGTGATGGGGCACTATTCCTCCCACTGACACCAATGATGGGGCACTACTCCCCCCACTGACACCAATGATGGGGCACTACTCCCCCCACTGACACCAATGATGGGGCACTACTCCCCCCACTGACACCAATGATGGGGCACTACTCCCCCCACTGACACCAATGATGGGGCACTACTCCCCCCACTGACACCAATGATGGGGCACTACTCCCCCCACTGACACCAATGATGGGGCACTACTCCCCCCACTGACACCAATGATGTGGCACTATTCCTCCCACTGACACCAGTGATGGGGCACTACTCCTCCCACTGACACCAGTGATGGGGCACTACTCCCCCCACTGACACCAGTGATGGAGCACTACTCCCCCCACTGACACCAATGATGGGGCACTACTCCCCCCACTGACACCAATGATGGGGCACTATTCCTCCCACTGACACCAATGATGGGGCACTATTCCTCCCACTGACACCAGTGATGTGGCACTATTCCTCCCACTGACACCAGTGATGGGGCACTACTCCCACTGACACCAGTGATGGGGCACTACTCCCCACTGACACCAGTGATGGGGCACTACTCCCCCCACTGACACCAGTGATGGGGCACTATTCCCCCCACTGACACCAATGATGGGGCACTACTCCCCCCACTGACACCAATGATGGGGCACTACTCCCCCCCACTGACACCAATGATGGGGCACTACTCCCCCCACTGACACCAATGATGGGGCACTACTCCCCCCACTGACACCAATGATGGGGCACTACTCCCCCCACTGACACCAATGATGGGGCACTACTCCCCCCACTGACACCAATGATGTGGCACTACTCCCCCCACTGACACCAGTGATGGGGCACTACTCCTCCCACTGACACCAGTGATGGGGCACTACTCCCCCCACTGACACCAGTGATGGAGCACTACTCCCCCCACTGACACCAATGATGGGGCACTACTCCTCCCACTGACACCAACGATGGGGCACTACTCCTCCCACTGACACCAACGATGGGGCACTACTCCTCCCACTGACACCAACGATGGGGCACTATTCCTCCCACTGACACCAACGATGGGGCACTATTCCTCCCACTGATACCAACGATGGGGCACTATTCATCCCACTGACATCAGTGATGGGGCACTACTCCTTCCACTGACACCAATGACATGGCACTACTCCTCCCACTGCAAAATTACAGTTATGAAGTAGCAATGAAAATAATTTTATGGTTGGGGGTCACCACAACATGAGGAACTGTATTAAGGGGTCGCGGCATTAGAAAGGTTGAGAACCACTGCTGTAGATGATGATATATTTAAAGTCTATTTTACATTGAGGAACATTATTCTGCAATTGTTCATCAATTTTTAGAGGAGGCTTTTCACAGATTGGTAAATCTCTGCTCACCACTAACTCTCCTTTTATACCATGTCATGTTGCTGACCTGTTGTCAATTAACCTAATAGTTGCAAAATGTCCTTTGTTTAATTGTTAGTATCACTTACTTTGCTAGCTTTTTGATGCCCTGTCCCAGCTTTAATACAATCAATTTCAAAATTACCTTTTTTTTTTCTTAAAATGTTAATTTTTTTCAGTTTAAACATTTATATGTTTTCAGTTTTCTATTCTAAATAAAATATGGGTTTGTGAGATTTGCAAATCATTGCATTCTGTTTTTACATAGATTTTACACAGTATCCCAACTTTTTTGGAATTGGGGTTGTACCTTAAAAATTAGTGTGCAGTAATAGTGAGTAATACTAACTATAGTGGAATTGGTTTTTAGTGAATTACATGCAGAAAATAATTTTAGAAAGTAATGGTCAAAATCACAAATGCCCAAAAAAACCAATATTATTTTATCTTTTATAATTTTTTTTACCATACTGAAAGTGTTGTTTCATTTAGATTTTTCTGAGACCCTAAAGGAAAAATAATTAGCTCTAGGCTGTTAAAATATTATGCTAAAAATGCTAGACTCTAATTAAGGACTAAAAGAAATGGAAACACATCTCGTGTCATATTTTTTATACAAGGCTAATTCTTGCTTCAAAAAACAGCAAGGTTTAAAATTGTCATTTCTTGCCAAGCAACAACAAAATAATTAGAGATGAGCGAATCGAACCAGGCGAACCGGAATTCGAGTCGAATTTCAGGAAATATTCGATTCGCGGCGAAACCGAAATTTTGCCTACTTCGGGTGCGCGAATCGAACATTTCCCGATCAGCCGGCAAAAGTGTCCCTGCAGTGAGCTCCGCTATTTCTGACAGTTCTCTGACAGAAGGAACACATGTTTAGCGGTTGAAACATTGTATCTATTAGTTTACATTTAGGATACAGATGTTTCAACCACTGTACATGTGAAGAAGCTGTGAGAGAACTGTCAGAAATAGAGGAACTCTGCACATACACTTTTTGCTGGCTTGGAATTATTCTTCTTTTCATCCTACTTCTTCTTCTTCTTCATCTTCATCCTCAGAAGAAGAGGATGAGGATGAGGATGAAGAAGAAGAAGAAGAAAAGCCGGCAAAAAGTGTATGTGCAGAGTTCCTCTATTCTGCAGATACACTTAGAGGAGCTCTGCAGATACACTTAGAGGAGCTCTGCACATACACTCCTCATCCTCAGAAGAAGAAGAAGAGGATGAGAAGAAGAAGAAGAAGAAGAAGAAGAAGAAGGATGAAAAAAAAGGATAAAATAATTCAAGCAAGCCGGCAAAAAGTGTATGTGCAGAGTTCCTCTATTCTGCAGATACACTTAGAGGAGCTCTGCAGATACACTTAGAGGAGCTCTGCACATACACTTTTTGCCGGCTTGGAATTAATCTTATTTTCATCCTACTTCTTCTTCTTCTTCTTCTTCATCTCATCCTCTCATCCTCAGAAGAAGAAGAAGAGGATGAGGATGAGGATGAAGAAGAAGAAGAAGAAGTAGGATGAAAATAAGAATAATTCCAAGCCGGCAAAAAGTGTATGTGCAGAGCTCCTCTAAGTGTATCTGCAGAGCTCCTCTAAGTGTGTATCTGCAGAATAGAGGAACTCTGTCATAAATAGTCTATTTCTGACAGTTCTGGGACATTCACTCCATACAGCTGTTTCAACCGCTGTATGGAGGGAATGTCATAGAACTGTCAGAAATAGACTATTAATGACAGTTCTGGGACTGTCCTTCCATACAGCGGTGAAACATTGTATCTATTTGTTTCCATAAATGGATCCATTTATGGAAACAAATAGATACAATGTTTCAACCGCTGTATGGAAGGACAGTCCCAGAACTGTCATTAATAGTCTATTTCTGACAGTTCTATGACATTCCCTCCATACAGCGGTTGAAACAGCTGTATGGAGTGAATGTCCCAGAACTGTCAGAAATAGACTATTTATGACAGTTCTGGGACATTCACTCCATACAGCGGTTGAAACATTGTATCTATTTTTTTCCATAAATGACATTCTGCAGATACACTTAGAGGAGCGCTGCAGATACACTTTTTGCCGGCTTGGAATTATTCTTATTTTCATCCTAATTCTTCTTTTTCTTCTTATGAGGATGAGGATGAGAAGAAGAAGAAGAAGAAGTAGGATGAAAATAAGATTAATTCCAAGCCGGCAAAAAGTGTATCTGCAGCGCTCCTCTAAGTGTATTTGCAGAATGTCATTTATGGAAAAAAATAGATACAATGTTTCAACCGCTGTATGGAAGGACAGTCCCAGAACTGTCATAAATAGTCTATTTCTGACAGTTCTGGGACATTCACTCCATACAGCTGTTTCAACCGCTGTATGGAGGAAGGACAGTCCCAGAACTGTCATTAATAGTCTATTTCTGACAGTTCCATGACATTCCCTCCATACAGCGGTTGAAAACAGTTGTATGGAGTGAATGTCCCAGAACTGTCAGAAATAGACTATTTCTGACAGTTCTGGGACATTCTCTCCATACAGCTGTTTCAACCGCTGTATGGAGGGAATGTCATGAACTGTCAGAAATAGACTATTAATGACAGTTCTGGGACTGTCCTTCCATACAGCGGTTGAAACATTGTATCTATTTGTTTCCATAAATGGATCCATTTATGGAAACAAATAGATACAATGTTTCAACCGCTGTATGGAAGGACAGTCCCAGAACTGTCATTAATAGTCTATTTCTGACAGTTCTATGACATTCCCTCCATACAGCGGTTGAAAAAGCTGTATGGAGTGTGAATGTCCCAGAACTGTCAGAAATAGACTATTTATGACAGTTCTACACTTTTTGCCGGCTTGGAATTAATCTTATTTTCATCCTACTTCTTCTTCTTCATCCTCATTCCTCATCCTCATAAGAAGAAGAAAAAGAAGAAGTAGGATGAAAATAAGAATAATTCCAAGCCGGCAAAAAGTGTATCTGCAGCGCTCCTCTAAGTGTATCTGCAGAATGTCATTTATGGAAAAAAATAGATACAATGTTTCAACCGCTGTATGGAGTGAATGTCCCAGAACTGTCATAAATAGTCTATTTCTGACAGTTCTGGGACATTCACTCCATACAGCTGTTTCAACCGCTGTATGGAGGGAATGTCATGGAACTGTCAGAAATAGACTATTAATGACAGTTCTGGGACTCTGACAGTTCCATGACATTCCCTCCATACAGCGGTTGAAACAGCTGTATGGAGTGAATGTCCCAGAACTGTCAGAAATAGACTATTTCTGACAGTTCTGGGACAATCACTCCATACAGCTGTTTCAACCGCTGTATGGAGGGAATGTCATGGAACTGTCAGAAATAGACTATTAATGACAGTTCTGGGACTGTCCTTCCATACAGCGGTTGAAACATTGTATGTATTTGTTTCCATAAATGGATCCATTTATGGAAACAAATACATACAATGTTTCAACCGCTGCATGGAAAGGACAGTCCCAGAACTGTCATTAATAGTCTATTTGTGACAGTTCCATGACATTCCCTCCATACAGCGGTTGAAACAGCTGTATGGAGTGAATGTCCCAGAACTGTCAGAAATAGACAGAAACTGTCACAGAACTGTCCTTCTTCTCATCCTTCTCCTTCTTCTCATCCTTCTTCTCATCCTTCTTCTCATCCTTCTCCTTCTTCATCTCATCCTTCTCCTTCTTCTCATCCTTCTCCTTCCTTCTTCTCATCCTTCTCCTCTTCTCATCCTCCTCTTCTCATCCTTCTCCTTCTTCTCATCCTTCTCCTTCTCCTTCTCATCCTTTCCTTCTTCTTCTCCTTCTTCTCATCCTTCTCCTTCTCCTTCTTCTCATCCTTCTCCTTCTCCTTCTTCTCATCCTTCTCCTTCTCCATCTTCTCATCCTTCTCCATCTCCTTCTTCTCATCCTTCTCCTTCTCCTTCTTCTCATCCTTCTCCTTCTCCATCTTCTCATCCTTCTCCTTTTCCTTCTTCTCATCCTTCTCCTTCTGCTTCTCCTTCTCCTTCTCCTTCTTCTCATCCTTCTCCTTCTTCTCATCCTTCTCCTTCTTCTCATCCTTCTCCTTCTCCTTCTTCTCATCCTTCTCCTTCTTCTCATCCTTCTCCTTCTTCTCATCCTTCTCCTTCTCCTCATCCTTCTCCTTCTTCTCATCCTTCTCCTTCTCCTTCTTCTCATCCTTCTCCTTCTCCTTCTTCTCATCCTTCTCCATCTTCTCATCCTTCTCCTTCTTCTCATCCTTCTCCTTCTTCTCATCCTTCTCCTTCTCCTTCTCATCCTTCTCCTTCTTCTCATCCTTCTCCTTCTCCTCATCCTTCTCCTTCTCCTTCTTCTCATCCTTCTCCTTCTCCTTCTTCTCATCCTTCTCCTTCTTCTCATCCTTCTCCTTCTCCTCATCCTTCTCCTTCTTCTCATCCTTCTCCTTCTCCTTCTTCTCATCCTTCTCCTTCTTCTCATCCTTCTCCTTCTTCTCATCCTTCTCCTTCTTCTCATCCTTCTCCTTCTTCTCATCCTTCTCCTTCTTCTTCTCATCCTTCTCCTTCTTCTCATCCTTCTCCTTCTTCTCATCCTTCTTCTCATCCTTCTCCTTCTTCTCATCCTTCTCCTTCTCCTTCTTCTCATCCTTCTCCTTCTCCTTCTTCTCATCCTTCTCCTTCTTCTCATCCTTCTCCTTCTCCATCTTCTCATCCTTCTCCTTCTCCTTCTTCTCATCCTTCTCCTTCTCCTTCTTCTCATCCTTCTCCTTCTCCATCTTCTCATCCTTCTCCTTTTCCTTCTTCTCATCCTTCTCCTTCTGCTTCTCCTTCTCCTCTTCTCCTTCTCCTTCTTCTCATCCTTCTCCTTCTTCTCATCCTTCTCCTTCTCCTTCTTCTCATCCTTCTCCTTCTTCTCATCCTTCTCCTTCTTCTCATCCTTCTCCTTCTCCTCATCCTTCTCCTTCTTCTCATCCTTCTCCTTCTCCTTCTTCTCATCCTTCTCCTTCTCCTTCTTCTCATCCTTCTCCATCTTCTCATCCTTCTCCTTCTTCTCATCCTTCTCCCTCTTCTCATCCTTCTCCTTCTCCTTCTTTTCATCCTTCTCCTTCTTCTCATCCTTCTCCTTCTCCTCATCCTTCTCCTTCTTCTCATCCTTCTCCTCCTTCTCTCTTCTTCTCATCCTTCTCCTTCTTCTCATCCTTCTCCTTCTCCTCATCCTTCTCTCCTTCTCCTTCTTCTCATCCTTCTCCTTCTCCTTCTTCTCATCCTTCTCCTTCTCCTTCTTCTCATCCTTCTCCTTCTTCTCATCCTTCTCCTTCTTCTCATCCTTCTCCTTCTTCTCATCCTTCTCCTTCTTCTCATCCTTCTCCTTCTTCTCATCCTTCTCCTTCTTCTTCTCATCCTTCTCCTTCTTCTCATCCTTCTCCTTCTTCTCATCCTTCTTCTCATCCTTCTCCTTCTTCTCATCCTTCTCCTTCTTCTCATCCTTCTCCTTCTCCTTCTTCTCATCCTTCTCCTTCTCCTTCTTCTCATCCTTCTCCTTCTCCATCTTCTCATCCTTCTCCTTCTTCTCATCCTTCTCCTTCTGCTTCTCCTTCTCCTTCTTCTCATCCTTCTCCTTCTCATCCTTCTCCTTCTTCTCATCCTTCTCCTTCTTCTCATCCTTCTCATCCTTCTTCTCATCCTTCTCCTTCTTCTCATCCTTCTCCTTCTTCTCATCCTTCTCCTTCTTCTCATCCCTCTCCTTCTTCTCATCCTTCTCCTTCTCCTTCTTCTCATCCTTCTCCTTCTCCTTCTTCTCATCCTTCTCCTTCTTCTCATCCTTCTCCTTCTTCTCATCCTTCTTCCTCCTCATCCTTCTCCTTCTTCTCATCCTTCTCCTTCTCCTTCTTCTCATCCTTCTCCTTCTTCTCATCCTTCTCCTTCTTTCTCATCCTTCTTCTCATCCTTCTCCTTCTTCTCATCCTTCTTCTCATCCTTCTCCTTCTTCTCATCCTTCTCCTTCTTCTCATCCTTCTCCTTCTCTTTTTCTCATCCTTCTCCTTCTTCTCATCCTTCTCCTTCTCCTTCTTCTCATCCTTCTCCTTCTCATCCTTCTCTTTCTTCTCATCCTTCTCCTTCTTCTCATCCTTCTCCTTCTCCTTCTTCTCATCCTTCTTCTCCTCATCCTTCTCCTTCTTCTCATCCTTCTCCTTCTCCTTCTTCTCATCCTTCTCCTTCTCATCCTTCTCCTTCTCCTTCTTCTCATCCTTCTCCTTCTCCTTCTTCTCATCCTTCTCCTTCTCCTTCTTCATCATCTTTCCCTTCTTCTCATCCTTCTCCTTCTCCTTCTCTTTCCTCATCTCCAAGGGCATTTAAATTAAAGGTACAGTGTTCTGCACTAATTTAAAGGCTCTCTGAAGCCTAGAAACCCTTTTTATAAGTCATCTTCGTAGCGAAGAAATTCGCATCGAATCGAATTTCACACTGGAATTCGCCGAATCAGCCGAATCGAATTTTTGAGAAATTCGCTCATCTCTAAAAATAATAGTATAATTGTTGTATCTTTATATGAATTCTTGCCTAAAATAGTAACAAAGACATGTGCTTTACATTTGCATTTTTCTATTTTTCTAAAATCTTGAGGTACAAAACACTTTAATTAGTGCTAAAAATACCTTTACCAAAGATCAGTAATGCACATTGTTGTCCAAACACAACAGGTTAAAATTACTGTTTTTTATTATTTTTTCTTTCCAAAACTAGAAGTTCTGAATTCTATATTGGGAGATTGCATTTGAGTTTGACTAAGAGACACTGGAAGAGTTTGGAAGTACAGGCATAACAATCTCTGATCTCCTAGTCCTGGCTATATCTCTTC